TGTTTTAAAGGAAATAGCGCCAAACGCATTATCGCAGCGAACACAGTTTATTTTCGAACACTTAAAAATGTACAACTGTGTGGTAAACAAATTTTCACTTGGGCTAATTCCTTTTTGTCGTGTGGCTCCTGGATATTTTTCTCTTTAAGGTATTCGTAGAACAGTTCCTTCGCCACTTTTGTCGACCTTTTAGTATTTTCCGAATCTTTATCTTCAAGTAATTTCTCAATTTCTCGCTGGGTCGATGAAGCGAATCGAGAAGCAATTTTTACTTCGCTGTCCATGAACTTGACATTGCTTCACCGGAAGTCATGCATTGCGCGCGCAACCAACAGATTACTCACTAATCTGTAGGTACAGATTAGTGAACAATCTGTAGGTTGGGCTGTTTCCCAGAATTAACTGTGGGCGTTTAGCCAATGAGAAGACAGATGGTGACTACAATGTATAATAATTGTAATTATCTGTTATTGTTAGTAATGTAAGAGGTGACCATACTTCGACCGTTTTGTGTTGAAGGCTTGGAAGCTCTAGGATTTTCCTTGAATCCAAGTAAAAGATTGGCAATGTGTAATGCTCAACGTGATTTTGGCACAAATGTGCATTTGTATTCTGTGCAATTTTTACCCACTTTGTTTCTTGTCCAAAATCATTTATGACTTTCTGGGTTCAAACAACAATCAATCAATCAGTTTATTATGTGAGCATACATAAAAGGAAACGTCTAAGGTTATACCTATCGAGGATGCTCCCTACATAAAATATGAAATATATATACTACAATGTAAAATTTAAGAATCATCAAGAAATGGGTAAAAAAAAAAAACAAACGACAACAACAAAAAAGAAACAACAACTACAACAAAAAAACAACAACAACAACAAAAACTAATGGAATGGTTTGAATTTGCAAAAAAACTAATGGAATGGTTTGAATTTGCAGGCTTTGCTCAATCTGTCAGTTGACCCTTTTGTGGGTGTTGCAGATCTCGCCAAGAAGATCGTTAATAGCATAACCTTGAAGGTTGGTTTACATTGCAAATGTTATGGTTGAAATTTATGTTGAATTGGGATTAGTATTGCTTAAAATGATATGTTCGGGTGTTAATCACTGTTTAACTCCCAGGATCTGATTGTTTATTCTCCCCTCTAGAGGCTACATACTCATTTCTTATAAATTAGTTACGAGAGTTAATTTAGTTACGAGGTAGTTATTAGTATTTCCATAACCTGTGAGCTAGATAAAGTCTGGACGAAAAGGGAGAAGTTACATGTTAATCACTTCTGGGAGTTAAAGAATTAAACTTACTGCTCTCCTGAGAACATGCATGCAAATATCAATTTGTTCTTCAAACCCTTTATTTTTGTAATTCATTTTACCTATCATCTGTTATGATGTAAATACAAGCTGTTTTTGTTGTATAGGCTACGATTGCGGCTTGCCCCAAAAGGATTTCACATACGCCGTCAACCAGTCTTTCTACTTCTGCCCCGTCATCACCCGGGAGATTTCCCTACCACGTGGGGTCAGAGTGAGTGAAATTAAACGATCTCTATTGTGCATCAGAGGTTTTGAGATTTTCCATATGAGGTCATAAAACTAAAAGCAAAATCTTTACAAAGGCTAGTCAGATGAAAGGAAAGTTACCGCAAGGAGCTGGTGATCACTTGCTGGAACTAAACGGTGGTATTAAGCGCGGGAAAGTGTACATGATCACGTGACGATGGTTGTAATTTTACAAGTGATTGGTTAGAAAGTTTGCGCTAGTCGTTCAAATCAATAGCGCACTTTTTGATCTAGTGTTGTAGGACAAAAAACAAAGTAGTCACCACATCCAATCAGGAGAAAGGAAAATACCTTTAAGAGCCAATGATGACTTAAAATAAAAACAACTAAACGGCCCAAAGCGCGGGAAAAGCGCGGGAAAAACGCGGGTGACCAAGTCGTGATTGGTTTAAGGTTTGCGTCTGATTTGTTGAGAGAGTGACGCGAGTTTTCTGGACCAAGAGCGAAGTAAAAGAAAACCAAAGCAATACGGGATTCTTATTGAAAATTGCTCTATTAGAGCGAATCGAAGCGAAATCAATGTATTCTCGGATCTCCTTTGACTTAGCTTTGCAACAATCAGTCAAGAGTCTTCTACTTATTTGTTGTGATAAGCCACTTTCGATCTTAAAGTTTTTTAGCATTTAGTTTTTTACTTGTTTGTCTGTTTTTGTTGTTCTAGCCCGTGTATGTCCCCTCCCCAGCACAGCAGCTCCAATGAAACGCCTCGTATAATGAAAATGGATCCCAATCAGTCCAAAGGTTCCAACCCCGGTCACTTGGGAGCAGCGTTTCCTCACTCATATGAGTTCCATACAAAACGTAAAATGTTCGACAAAGGTCCGGAGGTGGGTTATGTGTCATTAAGTATTCAATTACGATTACTTTCTGGTTTGTATGATTGGGTCCAGGTATGGAGTTTTTGTTCTAAAAGAGTAAGGCGCGTAACTTCCTATGTAGATCCCTTAGGTAGTATTTCTACCAGCAGTATTTTAATCTAATTTTTTATCATTTTTTTATTTTTTATTTTTATAGCATTCTAAACATCCAAGTACTGCTAGTGAAGATAACGACCAAGAATCTGACGAAGAAGCAGGCTCCTCCAAGCCTCCAATGGTTACCACTAACTTTGCTGGTTGGTGTGCCAGCTACTTTGCTCAATCTGTTACCAAGGTAATCCAGCTCAGACAAATGTAAGGATGCCATTAGTTCGTTAGTGAATTAGTTATGCCCTCAGCTTCTTCTATAGAAAGGCTATTGAAGATCTCGCTTCTCCATCTCATCCAGTCTTGGGTTAGCCTTTCGCTTGTGGATCAGGTGTGGCCAGCCCCAATTCTTCATCCCAGCCGGAATATCTCGCCGCCAGGTGTTATTTGGGCGTCCTCTTTCCCGTTTGCCTAAGGGATTCCGTTTCGAGGCTTGCCTAGTAACACTGTGAGGCTGCCGTAGGGGCTAGGATTTGACGTCGCAAATTAATTAAGGAATCATTGATGAATGTGTCTTTGTTTTAGCCACCAGTGGAACTTGATCCTCAAAGTCAGCTGCACTTCGAAAGAGAGTGGAGATTTGAAAGAAACTCAAAAGTGCGGAGAGAGGCGGCAAAACAACAAGCTAAAACAGGTAAAAAAACAAGCTAAAAAGGTATAAAACGAGCTAACACAGGTATAAGACAAGCTAAAATACGTTTAAAACAAACTAAAAAAGGTATAAAACAAGCAAAAACAGGTATAAAACAGGTATTAAACAAGCCAAAACAAGTATAAAGAAGTTAAAACAGGTAAAATGCATACTAGAGCAACTTCCAATCGAGCGTCATAAGTGATCCGAGATTTCTTTGGTTTTGCCATACTAGTGCCTTACTAATGCATCAATATAATGTGGAGACTTCATTTGATAACCGTCGTTCTTTCTCTCAGCTTCAGGAAAAATTGATGACCAGATATTCATTAACAAGAATGTCAGTGCGCCAGGAGAATTAAGATTTCATCCATATGAACCACACCTAGCTGTTGCTGATAGGGGTGGGGTGAGGTGAGCTTGTCAGTGGCTTGATGTTTTACTCGAAGCAAGAGAGTGTCAAGCTAAGAAACTAAATGCCCCTCTAAGTTCTCAGGCAAATGTATCCCTCTCGAGATATTTTCAAAAAAATGATCTGAAAATGAAGATGACTGAACTTTATGTTTGAACTGTAATTCTGATTGGAATTCACTGTTAGAATATGGGGGTCACCAACTCGGATTTAAAGTTTCAGGCACACAAAGCCAAAATAGACGTTGTTTCGAAGAGGCTGTGGAGTTACTATGGAAACCTCAAATCAAGAATGTTCAACTTTGTCAGAAATTGTGGGAAGTTTCTTTTTATTCTATATCTAGCTAGACAAAACAACAAAATAAGGAGGCTTCAATCCATGAACGAATTGGTGTTTAGAAAACAGGAAACCATGTAGGCCATCCTTTGGAGTCCTCTGTGGGTCAATATGGTTTGAGAAAGGAAGGAGAAAGCCCGTAATTTGCATATGAATCGCATCATTGAATACAGTCTCGCATTCTGATTGGTTAAGGAAGCGAGGTATTTAGCGTGGAATTGCGAGTTGAAAACGAGGCTAAGTGATATTGTTTCGCATCTACGTAAGCATAACAACTAAGTGAACAAAATTGAAAATATTTTCTCCTTCTTTTTAATTTGCAGTATCTGGAACTGGGAGGAGGGAGTGAAAATGAACTACATTGTCAACAACAACCCGAAAGTTTCACGCATCACCAGCATGCAATTCCTGAACGCCCATGACTTGACGCTGTTGTTAACAGGAACCGGTAAGAATCGATACTACCCCCCCCCCCCCCGTAAGGCCCATTCTCCTCTGAACCGATTCTGACTTAGTTCTGCCATGTCACTTTGCTGAAAAATAATCCAAGGTAAACCTGCCCTTAACTGAAACGGAATTGAATTAAACGTTGTTTTCTTTGTGTTATTTTTAACAAATTCTTAGACGATGGCTCCGTTCGAGTATGGGGAAACATCGAGGGAGAGAATTATGGCCAAAAAAGTCTGGAAATGGTAACAGCATGGCAAGCTTTGTCCGGAATGCTTCCTTCTACTCGAGGTTTGTAGAAAAGAGTTGGTGTGATATCAAAGTGAAATTTTTGAGATTATGCCTCTTAATGAGTTCAACTGGGTTGTTTTCGCCATTGTGACCGCTGAAAGACGTCTCTTTTTCACTCTGACTAGCGACGTTTTTAGACCAATTACAGCGAAGTACAGCAACTGAGCTGTGTGAGTGCTACATCTCGTATACCCACCTATAGATCTTAAATCAAATAAAAACCGAAGGAATTCATTGATTGGCTTGAATGTTGCTCCTGCAGGAAGTGGTTCGGGTCTTGTGGTCAGCTGGGAACAGCAGACCGGCACCCTGTTAGCATCTGGTGATGTCAGGTTCATTCGAGTTTGGGACACTCATCGAGAGATGAGGATGCAGGTAAATGTTTCAATGACGCGTATACTAAGCAACGGTATTCATATGCATGTACATGCCTGCGCATGCCTTGTATTACTCCTTCATTTTAAAATCGCCGTAGTGGTCGATTAACTAGTTCTTGTGTAGAAACTTGCACCTCTCGAGTACAAAGAATAGAGAAAAAGAGGTAAGGTCAGAGGGGCTTCTAAAAAACTGACGTGAGTTTCCCTTTACATAAACAACCAATCGCTACAGTTTGACAGCGGTCAACAGCAAGGCATGAATGGGAAATTAAGAACAATTCTCCCTGTTTTCAGGACATTCCCACCGGTGCAGACAGTTGTGTGACGAGTTTAGCTTGTGATTCTGTGGGTAGATCGCTGCTAATAGCTGGTTGTGGTGATGGGTCCGTCAGACTATTTGATAGAAGATTGCCGCCGAGCGACAGGTAACAAATTATTCCCTCCAATATTAACCGGTGTGCGGTTTCTTCTTTCAGTAGAACTACGTTATCAAACAGACAAGTGGTGCGGGTCGAGAAACCCTCTCAACTTTAAGCTAATTGAAGAAGCAAACATATTTTTTATCTAACCGTATTCCACATTTTATATTTGCTGTTGGGGTTGTTAGGCTTAAATATTGTTTTGGTGTGCTTTAGTCGTTCAATACCATTCTCTGTCTTGCAGCCGAGTAATGGCGCTTCGTGAGCATGCAGGCTGGGTCACCGGTGTATTCTTACCGCAAGGTGGCGATGGGAACATCATTAGTGGAAGGTAAACAGTAAATGGAAAATTTGGTTTCCTTCTCAGCCGTCATTTTCTTAATTTAAAACCTTCCTCTCCATGGACGCAGCTCAAGAAAGACTGCGGGCGAAGTAAGAGGTCATGTTAGGGTAAACGGGAAGCGGGTCTCGCATGAACATACCTATGAGTGATTCTAACTCAAAACTTAGGAAGGAATATCGTTTTCTTTTCTTGTTTAGTGTCGCTGGAGACGTAAGATTTTGGGATCCGCGTTTCACTGAATCAGTGCGGACCCTGGAAACTATCGGTAATGCGGCGGCGTTCGAGGTTCACCAGCAAGCTAAAGTGTTCGCCACGTGAGTATTACCAACTGTATTGGTCCAATAGCTTGATGTTGTCATGGCATTGTGCTTTGGAGAATTACACTGTAAATGGCACAGTTCTTAGAAAGTGTTGACAAAGGGAAACCTGCGTCTAGTTTCTTCTTAGTAAGAGAAAGTGAGGGAAAATGTAATAAGGCAACCAAAACATTCCATAATATTGCACTCATTGCCTTTTCTTGACTTGGGGAGAGATTAGCAATTATTTTTAACACCGTTTACGGCTTCATATTAAAACTAAGGCAGGATTACCATATTGGAATCAGTATAGCAAGCTCCAGAGGGGGGGGGGGGGGTGGTTGAGGAATGACGATGGGTGGTGTGGGTAACTTGCAACGGAGTTGGTTGCGCTTCCTGTAACGAAAACTATTCTTGTTCCTCAAAAACACAAATGCGCATATTGCACTTAAATGTCAACCTTTTGTGAGATCACGCCATGGAAACACTGGTCCATTGTTGGGTAACAGATGTAAAACAAATTTATTTTTCTAGTGGCTCTGCAAGTCAAATGATCAAGGTATACAACCTGGACGGAGGGAACTTGGGTACCATTAGATATCACGACGGTTTTATGGGTCAGCGGATTGGCCCTATCAGCTGTCTTGAATTCCATCCGCACAGGGTAAGTCATTGCTGTTTGTTTAGTGCAGAAGGTTGCGGGACAGACTGTAGCGATGAATGCGCTTAACTGTTTACACTTAAACATCAGTCTGCATATTCTCCATACTGTTCCTTATACATTCACTATGGTGCTGACGAGGAGAATTTTGTTGAGAGCTTCTTTAGTTGATGATCATTTCCTATATTCTCGTTACCTTGATGTTTGGTTCAGGGGTGGTATGGTCAGGAGAAGTTTGATACTAATCACTCGTTTGGGTTGAATGGGTAATGTTAGTTATTTTGGTGATTTCAGGTCCATCTGGCCGCAGGCAGCACGGACTCTTTTATCTCGATCTACTCAACAGAGAAGACTGAAAAGAAGCGGTAGAGGAAAATTAATTGTTTGTACATAGCAATAGGCGAGTGATTACCGCCTTTGAATGGACTCAAATATTTTGTTGATACAGTGCATAGTTATCCGTATCTTTAGACCGAAGCGGTGGCCCGGTAGAAAATGAATTGAATTTACAGGAATCAAAATGATACTAAAAGCATTAGGTCAATGACGAATGAATTTTTGTTGAAAAAAATATACATTTTTCTAGATATCGAAAAATATAAAAATTGTTTCACGAAATTTACGGTATTTTCAAGGAAGTGTGGTAGTACCTTCCTAAATACAGCAATGACTTCAGTTGGAAAAAAAAAACATTTTTGCCATATTTTTACGCAAAACATATCACTCAGAGAAACCACATATATTTCATCAATTTGTAAACATGGTTATTGTTGGAGTCGAGCGCTGAAGTGATGTTTTATCCGTTTTTTAGACAGCTTGTGTTCAATTCTCTTGGTCGCGAGATAACAACCAATTTCCCCATTTTGTTTGCCTGCATTTCATACGTTGTTGCCGGGGTAAGGAATTTTTTAGTCAGTGATTATCAGGTTTTACCGTAACAGGAAACAGAGGAATAATTTTAGCGGATTTGACAAAATCCCTTTTGGCATTGTTTTTGTTATATTACCCAGTTACCCAGGTAGTGAGAGTTGGAAAACGTGTCAGCTTATCTTGATAAAAGACTGAATTCTCCTAAGCTCAACACAAGCACAGTGGCTGAACAGGTCTCTTGGATGAAAGGGTCGAATTTTTTGTGTTTTTACTTGGAGAAGGCAAAACGATGCTGGGCATTAAAAGTGAAATAAATATGTAACATTTTACAATTGGAGGTCTTAGAAAAAAAAATCTGATCTCCGTAAATTAACACTACCTGTATTATAAGCGTAAAAGTGTTAGTTGAGAGTAGAAATTTCTAAGCTGAAGAGAAGTTTGCTAGGTGTGTTTTAACTCTCTCACTCTCAAGTTTAAGTCCAAGGAAAGCTGTGTTTTCTACGAAGATTCATTATATTTTTTAATGCAATTTTGTCGAGAAAAAACTTAAATGGGTTGATTGCATGATTTACTAAGGTTGGTAGAATAAAACTCTCACAAGCCGCCCAGAGTCGGTGCCACCGGCAAAAATAAATTGTTTCTATAGATATGTATGAAACATTGAAAAGATACTAAAATTTCGTATAGAAAATACTCCACGCAGATTTTTCCTCCTGTAGACTTTCCTCCCCTCAGTGTGAAAACTCCTTTTGACCATGAGTATGCTAAAAAAATTGGAAAAATTAATGGAAAAGACAGTGAGGGAGTTAAGGATTTCGCCGCGAAACTTTTCCAAGCTGTTGTGGTTATGAGTACGTATATTGTAGTTTGTTGACGACAGTTTTGATTGGTAGCGCCGTGAATGTTTGGTGAAAAGTGGTGTGTGAAATGCAGTCTCGTTTCCAGACCCTTTTCGGAGTTATTTCCGCGGAACTGTTCAAAACTAAATATTTACCTTACATATTATTGGTTGGTAAAAGTCGTGGCTTTGGGAAGGAGATTGAGTGCAACTTTGCTAGCTACTATGTGCTACTTTTAAGACAGTTTTGTAAATTTTCAGAAGACTACCATAGACTTGACAAAAGTTTTACTATTCACAGATTAAAAATAACATCAAAAGTTCTAATAAAGCAGTAGCTAAATGTGTGCATGTAGGCGACAGGTTCATATTTCATAACTGTATTTTTGTACATATGGCTATTTTTGAAATGAAATGAAGTACTGATAATTATTTATTATCCATAATAAAAATTGTAATATTTCTTTTTTCACCAAATAAATAGCCTCTTTATGTGATGTAGTATTGCTTTTTGTGATGTCTTATAGTAAATGTAAAGTTATTCAAGTTTTAAAACGAATTCATGTTGAAATCTTTGCATTACTAACCAAGAATCTGTACGGAATACTTTTATACGAGGGTTTAAAAGATGAAACACGTTGAGCTTTTATTTCGGCAAAGGATTTTTTTAAAAAACAGGTGGTAAATTTTACGAGAGCTATACGAGCCAGAGCTAAAATTGATGCCTTTGATCGGTGTGGTATAAATAGAGAATAAAACAAGGTGGGCGTAGATATGGAATATTTCTTCGAGCCTTTCACTCGATAGCTCATTTCTTCGCTGCACTCTCGCGTGAGAAATCGAGTTGTAAACGAGAAAAGGTATTCCATATCTACAAGCAACCATGTAGTATTTTGTTTAGAATCGAATCATTAAATAAAATCTCGCATTATGATTGGTTAAAGAAGCGAGGTATTTAGCGTGGAGTTGCGAGTTGAAAACGAGTCTAAGTGATACTGTCTCGCATTTACGTATACATAACTATAACTAAAGCTGTTTCCTTCATTTCTCATTTTCATTCAATTCTGCGATTAAAGGAAAATTAATTACTTGACTCGTGAATTCCGCGTTAAATTGCGTGCAACTTAAAGTGCACCTAAACCCAAAAATTTTTATCGCTTAATGAAATAAGCGTATTTTTGTAGTATTTCTGTGCGAAAATTTTTTTAATTGCTCAAATCTTCAATTTTCTGTGCCCAGTCAAAATACGGAAAATCGGCCGCCATCATGGCTCACGATGTGACGGGACAAATGTCAATTGGGGCTCGCCCTGTATTTTTCTCCAGCCATTATATTTTTAATATAAGAGAAAAATCGAGTTTCCAGGTGGGATTTGAACCCACGACCCTCCGTGATCTTGTAAATTGTATTTTTCAGTGGCAAATCAAAATCCAAAAAAAAAAAAAAATCGAGTTTAAAGAGGAATGGTTCTAGCGGGTAATGTGACGTCAAATCGAGAACACGAAAGTCTGCATTTCACACATTTTGACTTGTTTGGGAAGCGTAACGAGACTAAAACGGCTGCGAGGGAGGCTAGATTATCACATGAAGGATACTTATTTCGGCGTCCGGTGGTTTAAATTTATGCGTACTTTTACACTTAGTGCTTTTCATTTTTCAGACGTTATTTTTTACCGCGGTCTCGTGGTCTACCGATAAATTAAATTTTTAAAACGCTTTTTGAGCTTTCAAGAAAGAAGCAGAAAACCCGCTCCCGTTTGCATCAGCTGCGAGTCATGTTCTGAAGATACGCTTTTTCATAACGTGCGTGTAAAGATCCAACAATACCAATTTAGCTGTCATTCGTGTGCGTCACACATTGGGAAATATGGCAACAACTGCTCACTTCCTTCCATAGCTAGTATATTCCTCCTGAAGTGGTTCATTTATGATTTCTTTCTGGTGACAAATAAGTTTCAGTCTTGGGAATGTTGCGATCAATGTTGTTTAAAAAGCTAGTTTTAGCACTGAACAGGTTGTTAAAAAAACGAATTCCCTGATCTCTTATTTTCTTTACTTTGAATTCGGGATAAAGATGTTAATTAATTAACAGGCACAATTTGTTGAAAACTTTCGCTCAGCTTTTCATCAGTTCTGCGCTATTTCACGTAATTACAAAAATTTCTGCGAATTCAAAAATTTGTCCACCGACGCGTTTTTTTTAGCAGTTTCAATTCTGGGAGTCATCATCCGTGATGCATGTTCCGCGCCATGACCGGAAGGTCGCAAATGTTTAACATTTTGCATAATTTATTCCTCTACTTTGATCATGGAGGACCGCATTTGTGTCCACTGAGGTTAAAATGATAATCGATTGTTTTGAGATGCTAGTACGCATGGTAAACATCTTAATCAAACAATCTTTAGTTTAGTTCTCGAAGTACTTTAGAAAAGTATCTGTACAGCCTTTAGCATAACTTTCCTCTTTTGAGAATTTGTCTGAGCTGGTACATGTCCTTGAGTGGACAAGTGGAACTCATTGGGCTTTGAATTTTAGAAACAATTAAATAAACTGAACAAATTTTCATGTGCAGGTTTTAATCTGGAAAGTTATTGAACGAGTCCTAATTGCCTTTCGAGAACTATAGTGAGTATACTTCCGCGTCCGTTATAAACTGAGAAAACAACTTTAATTTCACAACCAGGTAAAAGGTCAGAGCTAAAAATATAGATATAAGAGATATACCACAAACTTCTATTAAACTGTGTAAACATAAGTCAGCACATAAAGCGCACTTTCAATTAAATAATGAAGGTTCTTGTCCAACTGTGCTTCGTAGAGTTTAAATATCACGCGATATTTGTACTCCAGAAATATCCACGAGATTCGCCCGCACTGAAATAACAATTTGACGTGTTGGATAATAAATCTCTTATTAGACGTTTTGTTGTGTAGTTTCGCTGAGTATTTTTACGAGCTGTTTGTATTTTGACTCGCCTTGCGGGCTCGTCAAAATACGGGACAATTCATAAATATACTCATAAATATATATACTCATAAATAAATATACTCATAAATATATATAAATATCAGCCTTTATTTAACTCATAAATATACTCAGCGATACTACTCAACAAAACGTCTAATAAGATATATATAGTAGAGTAGAATCTCCAAATACGCTGTTATCGAAGGAAACTGAAAATGTTGTAAAACTTTCAGTCAATCCATCCCCAGTAGCGACCTGAACTGAACTGCTAAAAAAAGAAAAACTGTTTATGCTAGAATAACCTAGTATAATTCATATAGGTTGCAGTCTCGTAAGAGTCAACAAGCTTGATTTACGCTCGTATAAAAGGTTGTTTGTTTTCTTCGTCCTCCGAAAAAACATAAACATTATCGCCCCATTCTTTATGATACCTCACCATCTATAACCACTTTTTTCAAAACGTAGACATCAATTCTAATCATGCTCCGAGCTCCTCGGTTATAATATATTTTTCTTAGTCATGAATGATGCTCATTTACACGATGAAAATATATCGACATTGTGTCAGTAAAGACCAGCTAAGCTTCGTAGAACAATATAGGAAAATGAATATAGAAAAGCAGAAACATAGAATTAGTTGTCTCTGTCAAGAGTTCACTTTGATAAGTCTCTGCGGAACTTTACACAAAACTTCTCTCTCTCAGTTAATTACAGGTAATGTTACAAATATGTTACATCGCTGAAATGTTCAAACTTTTGGTTTCTTAAAGTGTGGTGTCCATAACTTCCTCGTCAAGCTTAAGATCACCTTCTAATGTTCTAAGCGGGGTCAGTTTCTTCAAAGCAGCTGTGTTACAAACCCCTATTTCAAAGTTTTCAACTTAACAGTTGCTCGCCGCCTCACAACTGACCGAGCCAAGGCCTGCCGAAACTCAGATGTTCTAAAGACACTGATATACAACTGGATTTACAAATGCGTTGGAATGATTAACAAAACTAATAGCCACGTAATATCTCCACTGTGATTTGGGGAATTTCTCGCATCGACACTTCGTCAATGCGAGAAAACCTGTTTAACCGGTACTACAATAGACGAGTACAAATACCATGTGATATTTGTACTCGATCGTTTAAGGCGTTATTTGTACTCGTCTAGGTGTAGTTGGATAATAATGCGTGTTATTATCCAACAACACCTAGACGAGTACAAATAACGCTATAGACGAGTACAAATATCACGCGGTATTTGTACTCGTCTATTGTAGTACCGGTTAAACAGGTTTTCTCGCATTGACGAAGTGTCGATGCGAGAAATTCCCCAAATCACAGTGGAGATATTACGTGGCTATTAGTTT